CCTTGGAGTCCAGCCGATGGGGCCGGCGACAGACTGTTGCCGAAGATCTTCGTCGCAGCTCGGACTTGGGGTTGTGGAGAAGATGATCGCGGGGCGTGGGCCGCAATGGTCATGGTCTCGGCGAGAGCAGCCCTCGAGCTGAGTACGAAGGGTGATGTTGCAAGACTGGTGGATGGGGAAGTTGGCCTTCCAGCCTTCGGCCCAGTTGTAGGTGGAGCTGGTAGGGCCGGCAGGGGCAGTGTCCACCGTGACGGTAACACTGGTCTCAGCAGCGCGTGCCACGGGAGAGGCAGCGACGAGAGGGAAGAGCAGCAGGGCTGCGGTCTGGAGAGAAAGCATCTTGGCGAGAAGTCTGGTGACGGCAGGTCCCGAAGATTGGAGATCGTGGAAGAGCTTGGGCTCAGGTTGACAAGATCTGAGGTTGACCACGAGAAGATGAGCTGTGCTGAGGAACTTGACTGAGCTTGAGCTTCAAGACGGCTCCTTACCTCGGAAGCCTCAGAGCTCAAGTCTTTATAGTCCTTGACAGCTTGACAACTCGGCCTTTTCCGTCGCCTGCTCAACGAAGGCCTGTCAAAGTCTGCTCACCAGCGAGCAACACCCCACGCTTTGTGACGACATGACAAGAGGCCACCCCGGCAGAGTCTCCGGGCTAAGGCGTAGCGGCCATGAGGCGACAGTAGATTCTTTCCTAGACTGGCACTTGAGCGGTGAAAAACGGTCCAGCCAGCAAAGGTTGTCCGATGCTGCGCTGCTACCGAGGCGATGCCAAGGTAAGCGTGACCTTGATGACCTGTTAAGCTTGAATTAGGCACCGCTTCTAGTGGCTTGAACCCCACCCCGTTCAGGGATCTGACCATTCGGACTAACGGCTTCGGGTATGTTGAGGTGGTTGGGGTCGTGGTTGAACGGGGTGGCGCCCGCCATCCGGGTTCTCAGGACCATCGGACTCGGGGACAAGTGGGGCGTTTCGGTGGACCTGATGCCGGCCATCAAGGTGCTTGCCGGAAATCCCTCGCTCGACTCCAGCCGACAGACCCCTCACCAGAGTCACGATGAACCAGGTAGGAACATCTCGTGGCTTTTGCGATTCCGCAAGCGTGGTTCCAGCTGCGAAGCTCTCTGCTGAGGTAGATCGAGGGAAGTCCCTCTCGACTGTCGACTTCAGCCGGCACAACAAGGCACCCGATTTTGACCCAAAAAACGCTTGTTTCTTCGCTTTAATACTGCTTCGTTCCTATTCCTTCGTGACAATACCGTCAAGAGCTCTTCAGGACATCCAGTCACTGTCGATAATCAAAATCTCAATCGCGACACTGCTTGAGTGGTGACTTCGAATCGAGACGCCGGAGCCTGTATTGTACTCTTCTATTAGCTCCATTCAGTTCTGCAGGGCTCGTGCGAAGACCCCGGGGAGGGGGGTATCGACACTTTTTCATGACGTTAACCAACGGTCGAGGCGAGCATCCTACTTCGCCGCGGGCGAGAGTATATGGAGGCTCAACGAGGCCAGGAGGACTGGACAGTTGGAATGGAAGATGAAAGAGATGGTTAGGAGGCCATTGAAAGTGAGGGGCAGTGGTCGTTCAAATAGTAGAAACCGATACAAGCCACATCATCACTGCATAGCCTGACATGCCGCCTGCATGAGTCTATGTTTGGGGAGACGGAACGTGATGTACTCTCCCTTTCAAATGCATGATTGTTTCAAATCACAGGACTCTTACGTTGACAGCCAGAGCCACCCCAGGGGTCAGCGGATCATTAGTCTCAGGGGTTATGCGTCACGAGGCTATAGATTGCTGGGAGACCTTCTTGAGATTGGTCCATTCCTTACCGGACGATGAATATGCGATTATGCCCCGTTTGTGCGCACTTGGGTGCTCGGCGGTGGTGGTCTTGGCAGGCCAGCCAATGTCGTGCTTGTCAGGTTTCGAACATCCCTCCACTGACATGCGGAATAGCTAGTCCTGGTTGAGAAGACATTTTGGATCAAGCGCCTGTTTGGTCTGAAGTTTATTTGATTATTCCCAGAAGGTTCGAGGAGGAGGGGAATCATGATTCGAGATCGAGGTACTGCTCAGGTAGTGAGTATTATTTCTTAACCCAATCCTTAGGCATATGATTCAGCCTCATGGTTTCCACACCGTGTTCGCCAGTGATTGCATCATGATCTCGATTACGCGGAGAACCTTGAGCTGTATCACATCTTCCATAGATGCCTTCTGATTTTCATCACAATGAATAGCGTCTGCCAGTGTCAGTCAGTATCTTCAACGTCTGATGATGGTCTTGATGGTAGTCGATTGTGAAACCCCGCTTGTCATCCACCACGAAGGTTCAGTGATGTAAATCTTACGATCTATGTATATTTAAAGCTCTCTGCGTGCTGTTGACAATCACTGAGTTCTCGACTCTCTGTTCTCACGATCACGTTGTCGTGGCCCGACGTCATCCCTGTCATAGACCACCCTTATATTGGTTTGAGTGGTGATTCGATTCAGTTTTGACTGCTCACACCTTTCTGGTTGAAGAAACACATCTAGATACATCTACGCTTTGTCGAGAAGATAAATTCTCGCAACCCCAATCAATGCTCGATGGATGCAACGAGCCCTGATACACATTGGACTGCTTCAGAAACCCTGGGAAAGGTTGCAACATTAATACGCTCTAAACGTATCATAGCTTCGAGGGTCGCCTCCATGGCCAAGCAGGAACCCTCAAGTAGGTAGTAGGCATCTGTTGACAGCCTTCACATCTTTTAGTCAAGTTGAACATCCAGTTCTTCCAACGTAAGCCATCATACCAAGTTAAGTTCAAGGAGGTAGGGCAGCCTATAGTCATGCAGTGAGAAGCGGGAGCGCTACTTGCAGCAGTCCCTAGTCCTGTGTTCTTTTCAATTATGTCTCAAGTAGTCATCCCGTTATATGTAAGAGCACTTGCGCTCGTGAAGGGTGGGATGTTGTCTGTCAAAAGAAGTGATATCAGACCAACGGACCGGTTCTTCGTAGCGAGAATCAGTCTTGCAAAACCAAAAGCTGATCAGCCTGGGGTCGGTAGGGTCAGACGACTCGAGGTGGACGCAGCCAGCGCGAAACTTAGGCTGCATGTGAGCTATGGCGCACATGCACTGCCTGGGGCTGTAATGGTCAGGCATGCCAAAGCAGGGACCCCCGAGGGCCAAGGCGTGGCACCAGGCATGATTTTGCGGTTAATTGTTTCGGTAATCGTCCAGATAAGTTAATGCCTTTATTATGGAGAACGTTGCGGTTGATATCATCGTTGGCAAGTCCGAGACGCCAGCATCAGAGTTCTCAAGCATATTTTCGCCGACTCCAGGCAGATCCTTGATGATCCTAATGCCGAGCTGTCTAAGCTTTACAGCAGGACCAATACCAGAGTGATTGAGGATCTGGGGACTGTCAAAAGTATCACCAGAAGCCGTGAACTCCCACCTGGCCCTGAGGCGTTGAAGAGTGCCTTTATTGTCTTTGATCCAGCGAGGATCAGTCTTATAGATGGCCTCGCTCTTAAGAACCTCGAAATCGATTGCGGTGGGAGTCTTTCCTCTTATTGTCAAGGAAGCCTTCGTAAAAAGGCTC